TGTTTACGCTATGTTCCAATAACTGCCAATAGCTATTGTGTTCTAACGTGAATTAATAATAAATGTGACTGGGTCAAAATCATAAACTTTACACATTTAAAAATTGTAAATTAAATCTTTTGAAGTTGTACATGAACATACCATGAAAGAGTTAAATGCACATGAGGAACAGCAATGCCATCGACTTTGCTGGAGAAACACAGGCAGTCTGAGGGCTTATCTTTATTTGTTATTTGACAGTGTCAGTTTCATGTGATAGTGCCAGTTAAAAAGATTATTCATAACTCTTAAAAGGCCTACATATATACAATCACCTCTTTTATCTACTTCCATATAAATGTTCTATATTCAGGTCCCAATTACATTACCCTTAAACTTTCTAAACCTTTCCTGCTTCCTGAAAACAATTAATGTTGATTAAGGAATTTATTTTGTTAATGTAATTTTATACACTACCAGGGATTTATTATGGTAGCAACTATGCATGGTCTCTTAGATGTACTAATGAGGCTACTTGTTCTAAATGAAATAGGTTCACTGAGCCTGTGTCTAATTACTGGTTGGCTATGCTCTCAGTCGGTGCACTTTGGAGCAAAGGTGGATGTTAAACTTTGACCTTTCTGTGGTTTGTCATCTCTCCAAACCTTTTGCTATCTGCTTTCCAAAAACAAATAAAGCAGCTTGATAGTTATTTCAATAAGTAGTTTCCTGAAGGAGACATTCCAAAATGGTCCTTTTATCTTATTCATGTCATGTCTGGGTCTAAATTTCCTCTCACAAAATATTAAATTAAGCAACCTCTGGACCTGCTACTATCATATTCATCCCAAAATATTAAATTGAGCAACCTCTGGAGCTGCTACAATCATATTCATCCAGGTATTCTCAGCACTGTGGGGGATTAAAAGCCCTGGTCTTTGCTCTCTAGGAGCTGGCACTGGGGGAGAAGGAGTTATGGTTTCATGTATGACTTATTGATCAAACAAATGATCAATTGAGAAATGCCAGGTCCTGGGAAGTGGGGACCAGCAGATATTTTATATCTGAAAGAGACCTGTGAAAAATTTCAACAGCATTTTTCCAAATGAGTTGATTTAGGTGCATAGAGCAATGCACAGGAGACTCGACTGGATTCTAGTTTCTGCAGTGTAATTAGAAATATGAACTTTCTGTCCCACAAAGCAGGATTGGTGGGACAGGAGAAAAAGCCCACTGGCTACTGCTTATTTAAACTCTTGGGTTGCTACTAGAAATTTTTTTTAACACAGTAGGGGATGAGGATGGAGGAAGGGAGGAAGTAGAAAGCACACCACATGTAGGAAGACTATTTTTTCTCGAGGCTTTCTTCAGTTAATACAATTGGTTGACAACCAACTGATACACATTGATAGGACTCTAAAAGCTGTTACTCCCTGGACAAATAACTAGCGTCCAAGTCGCCTCCTTGTCTCCAGCACTGTTTTCCTACTCTCTGGAGCTTTCTCCCTACCTACTACAAGGGCAATGAGTGGAAGGGGGGCCCCTAGGATACTGCTTGCACATCATGGTAGTGTTTGACCTAAGTGGTCAGTGACCAATGCTGTTAAATATTTTGGATAAAAATGCCAATTTCCTCTGTGTGTGTACATACTGGATCATGATATAAAATATATTTATTCCTGTGGGTCATCATAAAAAGAAACTTTGAAAGCCATTGTTCTATGGGCAATAATGAGTGTAGGAAGAAATCTTTTTAGACCAAATTCCTCCTCGGGGGGTGGGGGCGAAGACCACCCTGGCAGTCCTAAGGCTAAGAATTTTGTTGAGTTTATATCCATACTGTTAAAGAAAAAAAATTCATGATACTTGTTCAAGACAGTAAGGAAGACTTTAATTCAAGGAAAGACTATGGAGATAGGTATATGGACCACTGTAACGGGGTCTTGCAGTGGGAAAGATTGGGCTCAGTTACAAATACAAGGACAAGTAGAGATCTGTAGCCAAGGAGTAGGGTGGGTCAGTGGATGAAAAATTACTAAAGGAAACATCCTGGATAAAGGCAGGGTGGGTGGGGAGGATTCTGACTAAACCAATTTGACAGTATTATTGCTGAAGGCAGGCCAGGGCTATAAGGAATTTGATCAGATATCATGAATGGTCAGACACTAGGGTGAGGGATTTTTGCCAAACTGACCCAACAGGATTCTCGCTAAAACTGGACTAACGGGCAAAGCCACTAGACTAAAGACAGGGCCCAAGGTGAGGACCTACCTAGAAAGAGGACTCAAGTTTGGACAAAGGAGAGAGTCAAAAAGGCTATAGCAAAACTGGCTTTCTACTTACAGTGGTGACGTAAGCTTCTCTTCTTAAATTAATTATGTTAGAAATAAAAGCAAATTGGTTTAACTAAAAACATTAAGTAAATCATAGTATAGGTAGTACACAGCATAAATTAGGAAGAAAGTGTGGAACTATCTCATCTAGCTAAAACTTCTATTATACAGATAACAAAATGATGGTGCCTAAGAAGTGATTAATTTGTCCCCTGCTCTAGGTCTCATGGCTCAGCCAGTGTTTGGCTGCTATAACAGAATAACATAGACTTGGGTGGCTTATAAACAGCAGAAATTTATTTCTCACAGTTCCAGAGGCTGGACTCTGAGATTAGGGTGCCAACACACTCAGTTTCTGGTGAGTGCCCTTTTCTGGGTTGCAGATTGTCTACTTCTAGTTGTATCTTCAAGTGGAGGAGAGCAGAGGAGTAGAAGCAAGCTCTCCCTTGACTCTTCCAAGGTCACTATCCCACTCCTGAGAGCTCCACATTCATGACCTCGTTTAATTCTAATTATCTCCCAAAGACTCTACATCCAATAACATCACCCTGGGCGTGGCGCGTAGAGTTTCAACCTGTGGATTGGGGGTGGTGGGGAGACAAACATTCAGTCCATGATAGCCAGGGACTAGAAGCTTTTGATCCACCATGAAAAGCAGGGCTCCTACTTATGCTAGTATTACCACTTATCTATACCGTGCAGAGTATTTAGAATGGATAAGCATTATTTTTAATCTGTAGTTCAGAGTCAGTGACGTTGCCTCTCTGAAACAGGTTTTCTAAGAAAACGACAAGGAATGTCCCAGTTCATAAGAATGCAAAATGTCTTCCTTCATTCATTACGGTGCATGCGGGGCGGGGAGGGGAACCTGAGGATAGACAGCGTATCTGTAAACGTAAGCAGCACTTTTGAGCTTTCTATACTGTAGATCATGGGGGGAAAGCAGTTTATTTAAGGATTTTCGGCTAATTTTATAAGATGGAGTAGACAATACTATGCAATTCTTTATTCGAATTGCTTTGTCTTGCAACATAAAGCTTTGTCATCAGCTGATGTTGCAATTACTTTAACAAGCAAAGGAAATGCCAGTCAAGTTCAGCACCTGGGACCTCTTCACCCTTGCAACGTGTCAGGCCCCGGGCTGGAGACAAAAATGCCCAAGGCTGCGTGTGGAGCCCAGGTAAAAAGGGAGTGGATGCTTTTGAGCCTCAATGTGTAAAGGTGCCTTGTCCCCAAGGCCAATATTTACATTAGGGATCGCTTCTACCTTTGGTACACTTAATCAGGCGCTGATTATATTCCATGGCATCACACTGACTTCAGGACTTTGGAGGAAAGCTGGGGGTAGGAGACTGCTCAAGTGCATTTGACAAATAAAATGCTTTGTGCAGCCAGCTGTGAATTTCACCGGCCCATAAGCTTATGCTAAACCGTGAGCGGGCTGACCCACGTGGACCTGGCTTTTCTTTGCCCAGGGAATCTTGTGAGACCATTAAGAGTGAGAAGTCAGGCAGGCTATTCGGCAAAACACGATGCAAGCCTGGAAGGCGGGTCATTGCTCTGCACCAGCAGCCAGCCAGAGAGACAACAAATAAAAATGGAAGATCCTTCTCTGTGAGAAAACAGGCCTCGGACTAGAAGCAGGGGTCCTAAGCGGGGAAGGTGAGTAAAGAAAGGCAAGGCGAAGGCGCTGCTTCAAGAAGCCGGGTTCATTCAAACCCGGAGGACAGCAAACCCCGCCTCCCCACACCGCCACCCGCTCAATCGCCGAGCGCTCCGGGTGTGAGCTCGCCCCGCGGGGAGCGGCTTGGAGCCGAGGAGGCGGCCGCAGAGGTGATTTGGGCAGCCCCGCGCGGCGGATAGGCCCAGGCAACCAACACCCATTTCCCCTCCCCCTCGCTCAGTTCAACTCCCACTCGGCCCCGGCCACGCCCTGCCGCCACCGCCCCCTCGGGCACCTTTCAGCTAGGCAGTCGGGCCTCTGCCGGGGGCGGGAGGAAGGCGGCGCCTCAGAGAAGCCGCCGCGGCCACCGGAAACTACAGGAGCCGACAGCCTTTGCGGCCGCGCCCCACCCCCTTTCTTCCACCACTCAGCGCGCGTCACCAGGGGCTCAGCCAATGGGGGCCGAGCCAGGGAAAAAGGGCGCCCGGGTCCGGATGCGCCTCAGGAAAGCCATGCTCCCTGCGCGGGGGCAGCGGGCACTTCACCCGGCGCGCCGAGCCGTCCGTGGTCCGCGCGCCCCCACTTCCGCCCCTCTCGCTTGCCTTGAGCGATGGCCCTATTTTTGTCTTTAGTGGCAATTCGAAGGGATGCTGGAGCGGGCTTTTGAGTGGAGGGCGCTGGGAAATGAGTAGGGGGCGGGATATCCTGAGACAACAAGTTTGGCTGTATGGAGGGCCTACCGGCAGCGCGCCTAAGCTAGAACGCCGAGAGAAAGAGCTCGAGAGGAGCCAAGGGAGGCAAAGAAAAGCTGCCAAAAGAATAACCCGGAGAAAAGGGGTGGAGAGGAGGCGGCCCCAGCGCCCCGGCCCCCGGCAGGTCGGCGGCCAATCCGCTGGGGGAAGGGGTGGAGAGTCGGTGGCTCCGGCGGAGAGAGGCCGAGGGGGGTGGGGAGTCGGCCGGGCTCGCGCCGCCCTGGCCCCGCCCCCGGACCGCGCCGCCGCCCGCGCCGCGCGCCGCCGCTGTCAATCAAGGGCGAGTCAGCCGGGCTCGGGCGGAGAGAGGAGCTGCTACGCCACAGCCCAGCGGCGGCCATTCGCGGAAAAAGAGGCAGAGCCTGTGCCAGCTACAGCCTCCTCCGAGCCACCGCGGGCGGGCGGGACCGGCCTCTCCTCCTGCCTCGCCCCCACCCCCACCCACCTCTATCCCAGTGTCTCCGTCTGAGGGTTTGTCCTGTTAATGCGGGATGAGCGGTATGTATTCTCCACCCCCCTCGGTCTCCTTCACCGCCTCCCTCCCTCCCTCCCTCCCCAGACCCTGCTCGGTTCTCCCCCTCCCCCGGGGCCGCTGAGATGCTTTAAGGGGAGGAGGAGAGGGAGGGAGGGAATCAGGGGGAGGGAAGGAGGGTTGTGTTTTGTCTTAATGTCTGAGAGAGAACAACCTCCTTCTGGGTGTTGCTCTGAAGCCGATGGGTCGGGTTTCAAACCACGTTTTGTGATATCCCCCTCCTCCCTTCCCTCCTTCTCCCCCACCCCCTGCCGGTGTGCGTGGATCGCGGGTTTATGGAGATTAATGTTCGGGGGGAGGGGGAAGAAGAGGAGAGGGAGAAGACGAATAATAATAATCCTAATAACCTGTTGTCGTGTGTGTATGGGGGGGGTTTGTTGCAGATCAGAAGAAGGAGGAGGAGGAGGAGGCGGCAGCGGCAGCCGCGATGGCTACAGAAGGAGGGAAAACCTCTGAGCCAGAGAATAACAATAAAAAACCCAAAACCTCAGGCTCCCAGGTAAAAGCAAACATATAAAAAAATTCATCACGACACATTAGGAGAGAGAGGGAGTTATGCCCTTTAAATGCCCAGAAGTAAAGAACAGAATAAAAATGTTTATGCACTCAAAGCATCTTTCTGAGAGTGAGGAACTTAAATTGTAAATTCATGAAGATATCACATATTTGAGGGCATAATGTTGTTTAAAATTACATCAGGAACTCAGACCATAAGAAAACGGTGTGTGTTTTCCCCAGGGCATTTTGAGTTTAGGAAAATAGCACTTTAAAAAGTTTGTTAGAAATTTCCTTTTATTTAAACTTTATGTTACAGGATCTGCTTCCTTATTCATATAGCTTTTACCTGCATTTGTTCATATTTCTTTTTAATTTCTGCTGCTTCCTAAGTTCTGATATGTAGAGCTGTCAAAATAAATAAATAAATAACCCCTTCCAACTACTGGCCTCCACTAAATCCACCCGCTTTTTTTTCCCCTCTCCTTTACCATCCCATTTTGGGTAGGATTCTCAGCCCTCTCCTCTGGCTTTACTGGCAGCTACTTGCAGCAAAATAGGGACTCCTGGTGAAAATCAAGCAACTGGACAACAACAAATTATTATAGATCCAAGCCAAGGATTGGTGCAACTTCAAAATCAACCACAGCAGCTAGAACTGGTAACAACGCAACTTGCTGGAAACGCTTGGCAACTTGTTGCCTCCACTCCTCCTGCTTCAAAAGAAAATAACGTTTCTCAACCAGCTTCTAGTTCGTCTAGTTCTTCCAGCAGTAATAACGGGAGTGCATCTCCTACAAAAACTAAATCAGGTAACCCTTCCACCCCTGGTCAATTTCAAGTCATACAAGTACAAAATCCAAGTGGTAGTGTACAATACCAAGTGATTCCACAACTTCAGACAGTGGAAGGTCAGCAAATTCAAATCAATCCAACTAGTAATTCATCTCTACAGGATTTGCAGGGTCAAATTCAGCTCATTTCTGCAGGTAATAACCAAGCTATACTCACAGCTGCTAACAGGACAGCTTCTGGAAATATTCTTGCTCAAAACCTGGCAAATCAGACAGTTCCAGTCCAAATTAGACCCGGTGTTTCAATACCACTGCAATTACAGACCCTTCCTGGTACTCAGGCTCAAGTTGTAACAACCCTACCAATTAACATTGGAGGAGTGACTTTAGCTTTGCCAGTGATAAACAACGTGGCTGCTGGAGGAGGGACTGGACAAGTTGGCCAGCCTGCTACTACTGCTGATAGTGGGACTTCCAATGGGAATCAGTTAGTTTCCACACCCACCACCACCACTGCTTCTGCCAGTACTATGCCGGAATCTCCCTCCTCCTCCACCACCTGCACAACCACTGCTTCAACATCTCTGACAAGCAGTGACACATTAGTGAGCTCGGCAGACACGGGCCAGTATGCAAGCACATCAGCCAGTAGTTCTGAACGCACCATTGAAGAATCTCAAACACCTGCTGCTACTGAGTCTGAAGCCCAGAGTTCCAGTCAACTTCAGCCTAACGGAATACAGAATGCACAGGATCAATCAAATTCTCTTCAGCAGGTGCAAATTGTAGGCCAGCCTATTTTACAACAGATCCAGATCCAACAGCCTCAGCAACAGATTATTCAGGCTATTCCACCACAGTCATTTCAACTCCAGTCAGGGCAGACAATTCAGACCATCCAGCAGCAGCCTTTGCAGAATGTTCAACTTCAAGCAGTAAATCCGACTCAGGTGCTTATCAGGGCTCCAACTTTAACACCTTCAGGGCAAATCAGCTGGCAGACTGTACAGGTACAGAATATTCAGAGTCTTTCAAATTTGCAAGTTCAGAATGCTGGGTTATCCCAACAATTAACCATCACCCCAGTGTCTTCAAGTGGTGGCACAACTCTTGCTCAGATTGCTCCTGTGGCTGTTGCTGGTGCCCCAATAACTTTGAATACTGCCCAGCTTGCATCAGTGCCTAACCTTCAGACAGTGAGCGTCGCCAACCTGGGTGCTGCAGGCGTTCAAGTACAGGGAGTTCCAGTTACAATCACTAGTGTTGCAGGTAAGTTACAGCATCTTTTCTCTTTACCTCTTAAGTAGTTTTTAATAACGATCAGTTATTGCTTTTCTTTGCTAATTCTTAGATTGACATGAAACTCTGAAGTAAACAGACTATCATAAGGAATCAAAAATAAACAGGAATCCTAACAACCATCACTCTGTAGTAATCAGTGAGACATGTTCACTTTTGTAGATTTTAGTGTTAGGTTTTTATGTGTCACCTTTCTTAGATAGTTTTTAAAATGTATTCTTTCATGGAACAAAACTTTTTGATTAGAATCATAATTGCCTTTTGTAATTTAGAGATCATATTTGAGTACACTTGAACTCTTCAGAAGGAACCCTAGTCGAAATGATATCTATCTCTTCTTTGAAGGAAAGTAGGTTTATACTGAATCGGTATATAGTTGTGAGTCTGTTGAAGTTTTAATTCTACTGTTAATAAGGCTAACGTTTTTTAAAATTGGAAGTTATAGCTCAAGCTTCAGCATTTTGTTGCCCATTCTTTTGTGTTTTATTACACTGGGTTTCTTTAAACTAGGTATTGATGCAGTTGAGAGATAGAATTTTAAATTGTAAAATGTTTGATTAACTTTTATGTCTACTGTTAAAATCAGGATTTGCTCAGGATTTTGAATTTATAGTCCTTTATTTGTAAAATTATATTTAAGTAAATCTTACGGTCATTATGTTATTTATAGATGTTTAGTGTGAGGTTCATGGAAAGCAATTAAAAATGTAGACAGTAAAATGTCAGTAATTTGAATTAATTATGGCAATAATTTAAACCAATTATAAAAGCGGTTGTTATGCATATAAATAGATACTTCTAAAGTACTTAGAAAACTAGTCTTATCAGTTTGATCTTTTTCAGACCAGTACCTAATATCTTCTGTTTTCTAGTAATTAAATATTTTTCATTGATTCTGATTTGGTGAAAGCCTTGTTATGGTTTTAGTGACTTCGATACTTTTAGACCTTGTTAGTTAAATATTTCTATTTTGATAATCAAAGATAAATAAGTTTATCACTTTTGAATGCCCTTTCTTGAAATAAGTTGCAGAAAAATTATGCTAGGGTTCTTCTTTTACAATTAATACCTAATATATGTATGTAAAATTGGAAATTGCCAGGTAGAGCCTTCTGATTCAGGAGAACCGAGATTACATTTTTTACCTAGATACCCACTACCTCTAGACCACTGCTATCCAGCAGAACTTTCTGTGATGTTGAAAATGTTCTCCATCTGTCCTATTCTATATGTTAGGCACAACCTACATGAGGCTGTTGAACAGTTAAAATGTGGTTAGTGTAACTGAGAAACTGAATTTTTAATATTAATTTAAGTAGCCACATGTGGCTAGTGGCTCCCATATTGACAGCACAGTAATCTAGTCAGTATTTTGAGTGTGGCATTTTTTTTCCCCTAAAACTATTACAACACAATTATTTAAATATTTCTCTGAATTAAAATCTTTAACTTGCTTTGTTTCTACTCTTTTTCTAAAAACATTGATAATAACTGGAGTATTTCAGAAAAGTGTTTTTGGTGGGTTGAATAATAGTTTGCATAGTCGAAGCACAAGTTGTTTCTCTGGCATTTCATCTTGACTGTTAAGCATTAGTTAGTGAATTGTGATTAATTAAGAGAATTGAGTAACTTAAATTAAGGTTAGAAATAGTCAGTTCTGCTCTCTAATTGATATCTGTTGTTAATAGAATCCAGAGGTTTTCCCTTACTCATTGTGAGGGTAAGGGAAATGTTCTGACCACCCAACTCAGATTCACCTGAATGGTGCATTATAAATGCTGGGTCCAGCTTCTGGAACTGTAAGTTTTGAAGTGTGGGGTCAAGGAATTTGCCTTTCATCAAACTTTCCATGTGATTCTAAAACTCACTGAAGTTTGAAAAATGCGGGATCTAGTCATCAGCAATGAACCAGAAGACAGAGTATGGAAGCAGGTGGGTGTCGAGCCTTATGTGCCTTAGAGAAGGCATTTTGGTGGCAAGTGCAACTTTTTAGTTTTTGTTCCACAAATGTGTATTGAGTGGCTGCTATGTGCTGAGCCACTCCCAAGAGGTATGATTGTTGCTTCATTTTCAGGGATAATTTTTTTCACTTAAAGTGATTTTGGGAAGCTTAAGTGTAACGAGGAAATTTGAACTTTACATAGTTGGAATTTTTTTCCTAAAACCAAAGATTTTAAATTTCATTGATGTTAAAGAATGAATGTTCTAATAGATATGTTCAATCATTTTTAAAAGATAGCTGTATTATACAGACTAGAAATGTACTCCGATTTCTACAAGTCAATGCAGTTATCCAGGCCTAGTTGTTGGCAGATTTTACTGCTTTGCTTAGTATAGTAGATGCTACTTGAGAAATGCTTTTTGAATGAAGATATAGAAGGTAATGGAGAAATAGCAGTTTGGAACTAGGACCCATGTGTTGGAGTGGTTTTAATGAAGCTAATGAAATAGTTCTGTTTTCATTAATTTCTTTTGGCTTTGTGTTTTTAAGACCAGAGTGGGATACCAGGTACTTCACTGTCTTGAGAAGGGGGAGAATGAGCAATAAGTGCCTATATATCCCTTTTTATAAATATCTCTTTTGTATTCCTGGAAGTTCAGATAGTTTACTTTGTGTCCCCATTCACTTTTAAGTACTTCCTTGGTTATTTCATGTCCCCCCTCACCCTCCAGGAGAATAGTATTGTTTCATTTGTGGAAAAATTTTTGCTCTAAATCGTCACAATAAATATTACCAAGGCTTGAAAAAGATTATTACTTAGCCTCAACAGAATGTAATGACTTACTCAAGGACAAGGGAAACTCTCCATCATCCATCCTCATTGTACTCTTCAAGAGGTAGAGGAATCTAGATGATGTGGACAGAAAAAGAAAAAAAAAATCATACAAGGCAAATCAAATGAAACCACTTCTTGAAGCTGGGGAGTTTCATACTTAGTTTCATAAAATGAGAATGTTAGTGACAACTTACGGGGAGCCTCTTTCCTTGATAATGTATTCCTTGATAATGTGTTTTTGTGCTTTGGTCTCACCTGAAAATCCTGAGTTCCAGGCTGAGCATTAGTTAGAATGTAGTAGAACCTAAATATATGTATCCTCTGCAGAAACCTTGTTTTTAAAAGTTGTTTATTTTATTTTAGAGATGGGGTTTCACTGTGGTGCCCATCCTAGTTTCCAAGTCCTGAGCTCAAGCAATCCTCCTGCCTCAGCTTCCTGAGTAGTTACAATTACAGGCTGGGATTACAAACACATGCCACTGCACCCAGCGCAAAGATAACAACTAATTGTACTTCTGGTTTAAGAAGTTTTCTATTTTAACTAAGTGAGGAGAGTGGAAGGTGTTTTGCTGAAAAAGAACTACCTATTTTCAGGTCCTCTGGTAGCCCTAAAGAAAGTGAATTTCAGGAGTTACATTTTCTTAATTAAAGAATTTAGAGCTTGTCCGGAGTGTTGGTATCTAAATCTGTAATTAACTTGCACTGGCCAGCATTTTGACTTACTTTTGGCCATAATTATTATATCACACATAGTAACAGATCATGCTGTAGGCCTTTTGATTGATGAATGGATATTTCTTTGTCAATTTTAATAGAAATTAACATGTTTATGCTAGTTCTCCCACAAAGGAAGTTCAGACTTGATAAGATGTTGCTGGCCCTGCAAGAACTTGACTTTCTTACCTAATTTCTTCCCTTCTCTAGGGAATTAAAGTATGAGACCTAGAGATGTAGTATGAAACCAGGAATGGGAAGATCAGTTCTTCATTATTGATAAAAATGAGGACCAAAGAAAATAATTGAAATTTATATTTAATTTAAAAACCTAATTTAATCTAGTAGAATCAACCTCTTACACCTGTCTTTTTTCCAGAGCTAGTAAAGGTAGAAAATTCATTTGAGGTTTAATACAAATATGATTTTCCTTTGCTATGTATATTCTGTTAATTTGGATTTCCCTAAGTAGGCATATTAAAATAACATTTCTGTGTATATATATGTACACACACTCCTGGTTTGGTTATTTCATTTTTCAGAGAAGTAAGGTTTACTTTGTAATTTTATTTCTCTAAAACCTTCTAATACTATTTGTTATGAAATAGAATTCATTATGAGGAACTTGTATCTTGTACACTACACAAATGATTTAAGTTTTGAACTACCGAGTCGGTTTTACCCATTAAATGATTTTTTTCGTGGAAGACGAAAAGTACTCAATGTAGAGCCACATTTTTAAAGTGCATTTTTTGAAAAGGATTTTAAGATAGAGAAGCAAGGGAAAAATTTTAACCTGCTTTTCAAATTCTTAATCAGGGAATATATAACAAGTAATACTTATGGAATATTGGGGCAGGTCGAAGAGAAAAAGAAGTTTGATCAAGAATGAAGATAGGGAACAGTGCTATGCATAGCTCTTGTGGAAATACCAGATTTTTATAAAATAATAGAATTTTAGTTGAAAGGATCTTGGAGATTATGGCTTGCCAGTTGTAACCTTTTAATATTGCTGCTAAAGTCTATTTATAAAAGCATTTTCTGTTTTTACAGTTTTAAGTGGAAACAGAAATACGGGTTAGAGGCTCTGCAGTGTTATATTAAGTACTTGGAGATGACACATTAAGGATTGAGAGTAAAAGGTGGAACCTAGCCTGATACTAGACCTTGCACATATATGTGCTCTTCTTTCTGTACTCTTCTGATCTAGGTATGAGATAAGACTGGATGTTCATAATGCTTGTCATTTTGCTATCTAGTGAATGAGCAAATTGTGGCAAAGGAAACCTGTTGAACCACAGTTGCTTATATACATATGCGGTGAGATGAAGGCTTAATGAAATTGTAGTTACTAAGGCAACTTAAAAAAAATTGAGCTTCTTTCCTCCCACCCTCTGTTTAGCCCTGTTTTAGAAAATGAAGGAATTGAAGCCTAGAAAGGTTGAATGGCTTTCTTATATTTTGTTTCAAAGTAAGAGC